GGAGAGGGTGTGCGCAGCCCGAGTCTCTTTTCCTGCGGGTGTGGTGCACCGCGTGTGGCTGCGTTGAGTTTGGCTCCGTGTCCCATTGAGGGCGGGATGGCAGGAAATTTTGGTGCCGCGTCATGGATGGATGAGGGTTCGCTTGCTCCGTGTGCGTTGTGTGGTGGCCGCGGGGTTTTGGCCATTTCCCTGGGGCTGCGGGAATGAGCTGGGGGAGATGGTGGTGGATATCTTCTTCTCCTGCATGGTGGGTGGCTTCTGGCGTTGTGTGCCTTCCTTGCGTGGATGCCGTCTCGTGGTGTGTGAACTGTGCGGCTGGGCCTGCTGCCCTCTCCTCATGTTGTCTGCCCTCTCTCTCGCCGTATCCGCTGCACTCCGTCCCTTTCCCTCTCGTTCCATTCCTTTTCCTTCTGTCTCACGGATCAGCTCACTGACTCCAGTGACTCCACCACGGGTGATGATGACTGCGATAATGACGATGGTGACGGTGCGGCTCCGTGTGGTGTGCGCCGTGATGGTCCTTGCGCTCTTGTGCTGCTGCTGCACGTCCGTGTGCGTGATGGGTGCTGGGAGTGCTGGACATGTATCTGGTGATGCGGATGCGGTGGTTGTGCCGGTGGATGTGTTGTGTGCTCCGAGTGACGGCAGCCTGAGCTATCGCGTGCGTGCGTGTGTGTGGGCGTGGAAAAGGTGTTCTCCTGCCAGTGCTGAGGCTCAGTATGAGAACTATACTTTCAGTGGCTTTGATGTGCGCATGCATGGCAGAGATGGTGAGCTGGGTGCTGTGTGCCATGTGGCCAATGCGGTGCACACATCTAGCAACTGTGCTGCCAGCTGTGCAACGAAAGAGGAAGGGGCCACCGTTGCCTTCACGATGAATGTGACGACACATAAATACGCCGGCCTTTATGAATTGTGGTGGCGTCAGTTTTCTCCCGATGGAACCATCCATCCGCCTGCACGGAGCAGCGATGCTGACCAGACGGGCATCTTTCAGTTGCCGCCACCCCGTGAAGGGAAGGATGACACAAAATCTGTTGGGACAACTGCGCCGCAAGTTGATGCTGAGCCGACACGTCAGAACGAGGATTGGCGACAGTCTGCCGCGGCTGACGGACCCAATACCGTTGATCAGAGTCCCGCATCCAACACGGCGACCAACACGTCCGAGACGAAGCCTGAGTTTGCCTTTGTTCGGAACATTAAAGTGGTTCCGACACCACCCGAAAGAAGGTTCACGCCTGTCACCGAGTCGAAGGAGGATCCCATTGTTGATGCGATGAGTGGTTCAATAAATGTTGAGTTACCGCGGGGAGTCGATCTATTTTTTTCACAGAAGAAGGTGTTGCAGCTCAGGGATGAGGTTGTTTCAGGCACGTCAAGGGATTCATTTGTTTTACCCACTCTCGTCAGAGCTGGTGGAGTAATTGCTGCTTTTGCCGAAGGTCACATTTGGATGCCGGATATCAAGGTGGTCAACTAACTAAGCCCTTTTCTTCTGATTTTGTTGCGGGGCACATTGACCCTGCGTGGGATTGTTCCACTCTTGTTGGTGGGGTCAATAAAAGATACATGGAGCGCACACACTGTGCTTGGTGCATCGGAGGGAAGGGAGGGTTTGGGTGTTGTGCACCACTCCACAACAATCACGAAGGGCCACGGAGTGTTTCTTCTTGCGGGAGGCTCGGATGTGTCCTACGAAGGTGGGTGTTGGAGAGAGGGCGGCTTGGAGCTGGAACTGTTTGTGGGTGATGTCACGAATCCCACGGGTGGCAAGCAGAGTGAACGGATCGAATGGGGCGACCCCAAACACTCTCGAAACTGATCTCTTCTGCTTCTCACGAAGGTGAACGGACGGAGCTCATTGCTTCTGGTGGCTCAGGTGTTGTGATGGAGGATGGCGCCTTCCTGCTTCCTCTGATGGCGAAGAATGAAGCAGAAGGCGTTTGCTCCATGATCATTTACTCGACGGACAACGGCAGTGCCTGGTCGCTCTCTGAGGGTATGTCCCCTGCGAAATGTCTTAACCCCCGCGTCACCGAGTGGGAGGGATCACTTCTCATGATTGTTGACTGCGAGAATGGCCAGAGGGTGTACGAGTCGCGTGACATGGGGACAACGTGGACGGAGGCCATCGGGAAGCTTTTAGGCGTGTGGGTCAACTCAGGATCGGGAGTCTCGCAGAAGGAAAGCCTGCATGTGGATGCCCTCATCACCGCGACCATTGAGGAAAGGGAAGGTCATGCTGTACACTCAGAGAGGGTACGCCTCGGTGGAGAATAAGGCCAATCCGCTTTACGTTTGGGTCACGGACAACAACCGCTCGTTTTACGTTGGACCGGTTGTCATGGACAATGCTGCGGATTGGGAGCTCGCCAGCACCCTGCTGCACTCGGATGGCAGTTTGCATCTTTTACAACGGAGGGGCAACGGTGAGGGCAGTGCCATTTTCCCGCCTGACGGAGGAAGTGAGTGCAATCAAGTCCGTCTTCAGTACTGGGGCACAAAAGGACACTTTCTTCTCCAGCGTGTCTATACCCACGGCGGGTCTGGTGGCAGTTTTGTCCGATGCGGCCAGTAATGGCACGTGGAACGACGAGTACCTTTGCCTGCATGCGACGGTGACGAATGCATTGAAGGACAGCGATGGGTTCCGATTCACGGGACTTGAGTCCAGGGCAATATGGCCCGTGAACACTTGCAGTGATAGTGTGCGTCATGTATTCTTGAGCCACCACTTCACACTTGTGGTGTCGGTGACCATCGAAGAGGCTCCGAGTGGGAACACTCCTCCACTGACTGCGATGCTGGCGAACACTGAGCCCAATCGTACCATGGGACTGTCTTGCAGCCACAATAAGAAGTGGGAGACGGCGTTCGAAGGCACGACAACAACACGGAGGAGCACTTGGGAGCCGAAGAAGGAAGAGTACCAAGTGGCACTCATGCTGCAAGGCAACAAGGCCTCTGTGCACATTGATGGCCAGTTGCTGGGGGCAGAATAGGAAGAGGTGCTGTTAACAGGTCAGAAGCCACCTGAGGTCCTATGGTTTTGCTTTGGCGCGTGCTGTGGGCACTAATCTCATGTGACGCTGACGAACGTCTTTCTGTACAGCCGCCCACTGAACTCCACTGCGATGCGTGCACTCAAGGACAGAGACCCCGTTCCGACGAGGGAAGCGGCTCCGACACCACCCGAGAAGATTCGAGTAGTTGACAGCGTCAGAGAGCACATTGCTGGGGATATTACGGAAGAGAAATGAATGAGCACCACGCCCCTGGACACGAATTCCCATTAAAAAAAGTCACCTCGCAGTGTCTGGAGCGGTGTGAGTCCCGACGACCGCCTCGCCTCTCCCAACGACGTGAAATTGACACTGCGTGATTTAAGCGGTAACAACACCGTGCGTGTGTGCGTGTCGTGTGTGTTGCTGCTTCTACTGGGACTGTATTTGGGTGGTGGCAGTCTTCTGAGCCACGGAGTGTGGATCTGCGACGCCTCACGGAGAATACATGCCGCATTGCCCGTCCTTTTTTATACCACCGTTTTAATTCTATTTTACTGCTCGTTTGGTTCTTCAATGTCTTTACTTTTCAGTGTTCTTTTTAATGTAGTTCAGCCGGAGTAATAACTAGTTTTGTTTTTGCTTTAAGTGGTGTTTGGCTGCTGCGCACCGTCATGAGCGACGTGTTTCCCTCTCTTGTTTGCTTTCTTGTCGCCCACACGCGGTGCCGGCCCTTCGGCTGCGCGTTCCACGGACTGCACGAAACACGAATTGGAAGAACAGGCCGATTGCTGCATGAAATGTGAGGGATGTTTTGTGGGCTGGTGGGACAGTGCAATTCCTTTTTTAATTTAGTTTTTCTCTTCCTTCCTGGTGCGGGCGATATGTATACACACAAACACACGGTCGTTTTGTTGTGCTGATCGGCACATGAAATAAAAGTCTTGCCGAATCGATCTTCACCATATTTTTTTAAATTTCTGTGAGCTCTTCTTGGACTTTTACCCTTTTTTTTTTCTTTGTTAATTCACTGCGGCGTGCTTTTGTTGTGCCGTGTCCGCTGTCACCTTGTGTTACTGTGTCTCTTTTGTTGTCCCTCTGCTGGCTGTGCTTTTGACACGCCCTTATTTCATTTTCTTCTCCGCTAGAGGCACCGATGGTCCGCGACGACGATTGTTTGTGCTCCCCTTTGCGATGGCAGGAGGGTGGCTGGGCGACGGCCTGCTGAGTGAACTCGAAGGGGAGCGGATGGTGTGCGCCGCGCCTCATTTGTGGGTGTGGGACGCCAACCCGCCGGGGAAGGGAGAAGTGAAGGACTGCGGTATGCACTTGGATGTGCCCCGTCCCTCTCGTTGAGGCCGTGTGTTTGCTGTCCGCATGGTCCTATCCTGCGGTGCGACGTCGGTGGCACGGCTATTGCATGTGTCCTTGTGCATGTGCTGTGCGGCGGGCTTCTCTTCGCCATGGCACCGCCCTTGTGTGCGGGAGAGTTGAGTGAGTGAGGGTGGCCGTTGTTTCCGCACATTGTGTTCTTCCACAAAAATGGCACCTCTCGGCCGCCTCTCGCATTACCAGGCCGTGGATTGAGAGAATGTGAGGGTCTGCTTCAAGTACAAGGAGGACAACGAGATGCAGTGCATGACGGCCAACCTGATCCGTGTGTGGTTGCGGCGCAGCGGGAGCGCATGACGGACTGCCTGTGCTGGGAGAGGCGCGTGTTGGATTGAGCGTGGCGTGCCTGTGAGGGACTGAGGAGAGAGGGAATAACAGTAATGGTGACTGTGGGAGTGTGAGGAACGGTGCACGGCGAGGAGCGCTCCTCTTTTGTTTTGATTGTTGTTAACCGCGCCCACTCAAATGTTGTTGTGGTGGTGTGTGACTCTCATTGCTGGATGGGACGGTGCGTGGTTGCGTGACTTGTCTCTCCTTTTGCTTTCACTCTGCGTTGACGGGGAGTTAGTTTGTGTTGAAGGCTACACGCAAGTGACAGGAGTGATGGCGATGATGATGACTGGCCGTGTGCTGCTGGTGTGTGCCCTCTGCGTGCTGTGGTGCGGTGCCGGCGGTGTTTATGCGAGGGACGTTGACACCAACGCACTGGGCGGCTGCATGGCGTCGGGAGTGTTGGGTGAGAATGGATCCCACATGCCTGACGGATGTAATAAAACTGCGATTACGATGCCTTTGCGGTCAGTGCTGCCCATTACTGCCGTCGAAGCCTCGGCTGGAGAAGATGTTTCTCCTGCTGCTGGTCCTTCTGCTCCTCCTACTGGAGGTCAAGGCACCGGTGTCATTTCTTCTGGCTCATCTGCTTTTCCTCCCGCTCCTCCTGCTGCTCCTCCTGCTGCTCCTCCTGCTGCTCCTCCTTCAGCTGCTCCTGTTGTTGATTCTTCAGTTGGCAGCAGTGGTGGTGAAGCGGAGTCCTCAGGCAGTCATCCAACTAACACAACAGGGGACTCTTCAACAGGAGATCAGACGCCTGCAGCAGCAGCGGCTAACGACTCCTCGCCACCCGAAATACCGGCAGGGACGACATCCGGCACTGGACACACACGACAAGAAGAAGAAGAAGAGGGAGAAGATCATGAAAAGCAGCACCAAAGTGATGAAACACAAGTCCAACAACATCAACAGCATGAACACCCCGTGGAAAGTGGCGAAGAATCCGCGAAGGATAAAAACGCCCTTCTTACAAATGCCACCGCAAATACAGGCGACAGTGACGGCAGCACCGCGGTCTCCCACGCCACCTCCCCTCTTTTGCCTCTTCTTGTTGTTGCGTGTGCGGCTGCTGCTGCGGTGGTGGCCGCGTGAGAGTGAGGGAGAGAGAGCCGTGCACCGCCCACACACACACACTCGTTCTTCTCTCTCTCTGTGTGTGTGTCCCCTTGCATGGACTCTCGCCCTCACCTCATCCCACGAAGCACACACATAATGTGCCCATTGTATATATTGCATGTACACCCATGCAGGCCCGTTGGTGCTCTCTTTTGCACGACACGCACCGCTGCCGTCCTGCCTGGCTGCATGGGCGTAGCACCGTAACTGTTTCTGTTTTGTTTCCATTGCATTGAGTGGGCGACCTCTCTCTCTCTCTCTCTCTCTCTCTCCTTGTGTGTGTGTGTTTTGCTTTGCGGGAGCAATGAGAGTGTGTGCGCTGGTCGTCACACACTTTTTCTTTCTTGTTTTTGTTTTTTTTATTTTTTTAAGTGTGGTTATGTGCGCCCACAACCCTTTTTTCAGTTATTGGCTTGCTTTGACTGCGGACGCTTAAAATTTCTCTTTTTTGTATTCTTATATTTCCTCTCTTGCTGAGAGAGTGTCAGCCTCTTGGTTCTTTGTGACGCCACCAAGTTCCTTCTTCAACTACGCCATGAGTCCGTTGATCTTATTCACCCGCGTCTTTTGGCGCTGCTGGTGCTATTGTTGATTTCTGCGATGTTATTTGTCGGCGGGTGTCTTGTTGTCAGCCTGACACATCTTTGGTTCCTTGACTATTTGTTGCGTACTGACGGCGCGTGGGTGTCTCTGGTGATAGTGAGGGACGCGTGTCTCAGAGCGCAGGATGCGTCGCGGGTGTGCGGCGTCGTTTGGAAGGACCGATGGGTGCTCATCCGCATCCAGGCGTCATCAGCGGACTGTGAGGACAGCAGGAGGCACTGCGGCTCCAATTGGTGTTGCACAGCGACTTTATTTGACGGGGTTTTTGTTTTGCGTCTCTTGGGGTTTTAGTGGGGGAATGCGGGAGGTTGAGGGCATTAGGACTGAATTCATTTGGGTTGCTGCGTTCCATTGACTTGCGGCCAGTCGTGGCACTCTTTTGGGGTTTGGCAGGTCGTCTCTTTTGTTTACTTCCCACTGCAGCACGTGGATAACACTGATCCGAATAACATTTGTCTGACTGCGTGTGAGCTGCTGCCGTGCGTGGTGCGTGGACTATTTGATTGCGTGAGGGGGTGCATGGAGTGACGAATACTTCTGTTTGGCGTGTCGCGGTGTGTCGGAATGATGTTCGGATGACATGTGGAGGGTGTCGCTTGTAATTTGTGTGTCTTCTCTGGTGGAGCCGACATGTGTGCGGGGATTGTGGCATTGCTGGCTGGCAGCTCCACGTCACTTTTCGGCATTCCTGGATGTGCTGAGGAATGACGGCTGGCGACCAGCGTGTTGGTGCTGCTGGTGGGAATAAGTGCATGGGGAATAGGCCACTTTCTCTTTCCATTCTGGAGCCGATGAACTGGCACGAGGGCACCGGCTGCAGGCTGCCTGTCAGCACGTGTGAGCAGCGGGTCCATGCACACACCGACGCTTATCGCAAGAGCTTGTGCGATCACAGTGGCCTTTTGTGGCGTGCTTTTATGGGCGTCAGCCCACCGAAGAATGTGTGATGCAAACGGCTGACCGCACACGGGGAAAATAAGTGCGTGCACTGTGCCGTGTTTCAGCGTCGATGGCAGGGCGGCAGGAAGTCCGTGCTGGCAACCGAGATCTTTGCGTCGCGAGGGATGTCGGTGTTGATTTTGTGTCGTCGAGGGTGAAGTGATTTTGCTGCTGCCCGTGTGTGTGGCCACTCCGGCAGAGGGCGGAAACAAAAGGGAGGGATGCAGGCGCTGCGTGTGTGTGTGTGTGGGTGCCATGCAACAACGTCACAACAAACATGCTGCGACTCGGTGACCCTCACATCGTTGCGGTCCTCACGAGCAGCCGAGGCACGGCCCACATCGATGCACTTAGTGGACGGAGTGAGGCATCTTTTGAGGCGCTGCAGGGAACAGGATGTGTTGACGCAGCCACGACGTGCATGGAGTGTCACGATGGCACAGTCAGCTGTGGCTGGTGGAATGTTTACTTCTCGGAGGCAACAGAGAGAGAGAGAGAGAGAGAGAGCTGCTCCTGCTGCTGGCGTCGTTGCTGCCTCTTGTGGCCTCCCATGCCGATTATTTTCAGTTCGCCGATCATAGGTGGCATGCCTCCACTAGTGACGTCGTCTGCAGGCATTTCACAGCACCAGTGAAACACACATCACGTCGCATGCTTTGGCTGTGGATATGGTGTCGTGAGTGCAGCCGGCATTATTTTGCCCGACTCCTTTTCACTGCTTTGCGACAAGTAGATGCGTCCCCGCCCGAGTCATTTACTGCAGCTCCGTGTGTTGTACTGACAGCACAAGACTCTCCTGTTGTGTGTCGCCTGGCTGACAGTCAAACACCACTGCGTTGGGACATGCAAGGACGTGGACTGCCGCTCACGGTGTTGGGCACCGCTGTTTGGATGCGGCGGCCACACGAGCGGATGTGTTGTGGCACAATCAAATGTGTGAAATACGCGGAATCGCAGCGGCTGCAATAATATCAACGGTGTGGCACCACGGAATATGTGAGGGGGTGATGCATGATGAATCACAGTGGGCGGCATGCGAGGGAAGTGCACCGCGACGGAGCGTCATCCCGCCCTCAGCCTGCATGGGAATGTACACCTAGAAGAATATATGGACGAGGCACCACCAAACACACATGTCCTTCCATGCACCAATAAATAGGAGCGAAGGTGCGTCCTGGTGTGTGGGAGTCCACTCACATATTTTCATTTCCACCGCAATAAACGGTGAGGAATCAGGTGCCACAGCAACGAAAGGAATAAAACCATCTATTGCAACACTTTGACGGCGAGAAGCAGGAAGAACACAAACCGAATTGTTAGCTGCACTTCCCGTGGAACAACAATCCACGTGGTGTGAGGGGATCATTCCCTTTTTTACTGTTATTTTGCTTTTGCGTTGCTGTGTGCGCTGCACCTCCTCTTGTGTGTGTGCGTACCCTCCGTGAGGGGTGCCGACACGACGGACCGCCCTCGCCGTGTGTGCATGCGGTGGAGCCTTGTGTGCCGCTCCTGTTTGCTTCTCCCTCCTCCATCTGTGTGTTGGTGCTGCGGCAGGGCTGTGTGTGTGTGCCTGCTGCCGTGGATTGGAGTGTGTGTCGTGCGTGGTGTGCGGCGTACGGTGCATGCCTGGCTGCTGCCCTCTCCTCATGTGGTGTGCCCTCTGTTTGTGTGTCTGCCGCACCTCTCGTCTCCCCTGTTGCTCTCCATGTCCCTCACTGTGCAGATCAGCTCCACACCACCGAACGACCACACTCACGATGATGACGTGCCGTCTGCTGTGCGCCCTGTTGGTGCTCGCCCTGTGCTGCTGCCCGTCCGTGTGCGTGACAGAGAGTAGCGATAAAATAACTCAATCCGTTCAGAAGTCCGATCCACAACCGGGAATAAGTGGGACGGACGGTAGGCAGAAGGATAAAAACGAGGTCCCAGGCCCAGGGGTCGTTACACCAGCGGTTCAAGACAATAACAATGTAGAAGAAAAAACAGTTCCGAAAGCCAATGAGAATGCCAACAGTCAAGATGCATCAGTTGCGTCTGTTCAGTCAGCGAAAACAAGTGCTGCGGATAAATCCGCAACGATTTCAAAAGTTGATTTCACAGTGCGAAAAACGACGACTACGACAAACGCACCAAATACGACTACCACAACAACAACAACCACAGAGGCACCAATCATTACATCTACGGAAACAACAACTACGACGACCACCCGAGGGCCGTCACATCTTCGCGAAATTGACGGCAGCCTCAGCAGCTCTGCGTGGGTGTGTGCCCCGCTGCTGCTCGCCGTATCCGCGCTGGCGTGCACCACTCTGGGCTGAAGATGTGTGTGCGGGCTGTGCGTGCCAGCACTCAACGGCGGGGACATGTGTGTACGTCTACTGTGGTCCGATGTATAAAGTAAGAGCAATTATGATGATTGTGTTTTTGCTTTGCTTGCTTCCACTGTCCTGCTGTGCGCTCCGCGTTGTTCCCGCATCCGCCGCGTTGAATGCGTCCAGACACACTCATATGCATGCGCGCTGGATCCATTTGTGTGTTTGTAATCTTTTGTTTTGCTTTATTTTAATTGCTGGTTTGCAGGGCGTTGTGCGTTTTTTTTTTTTTTTTTTTTTACCTTTTTACTGATTCCATATGTCTTATGGTGTTTGAGCTGCTGTTGCGGTGGTGTGTGACTCTCATTGCTGGATGGGACGGTGCGTGGTTGTGTGACTTGTCTCTCCTTTTGCTCTCACTCTGCGTTGACGGGGAGTTAGTTTGTGCTGAAGGCTGCACGCAAGTGACAGGAGTGATGGCGATGATGATGACTGGCCGTGTGCTGCTGGTGTGTGCCCTCTGCGTGCTGTGGTGCGGTTTTTCTGGAATTGCGGCCGATTTTGTCGGCAGTACCAATGGCAGTGCGGGTGAGTATTGGGTCTCGTGGTGGATCACTCAGCTGCGGAAGGAATGCGCGGAGGAGGTCATCAGGAGGACGGGAGGCAGGACGAATGTGTCTGCCGTTGAGGAATGCGTGCGTCAGGGGATGGACGGTGTGCGTGCCGTTTTGGATGGCCGCAGCCGTTGGAGGCCTCAACGCTCTGCCGTTGTTGTTGTTGTTGTTGCTGCTGAAGATGGTGGGGATCCTGTCAAAAACGGCGACAGTTCGGAACGGTCATTTTCATCGGAGCAGAGTTTGCAGGCGGGACGAGTTTTACCAGCAGGAGGAGGAGGAGGATCTGGAAGTTTGCCGGGAGGTGAGGGTGGCACGGGAAATAACCCACCACCGCCACATTCTCCTCCAACAGGACCATCTCTACCGACTCTACCAGAAAAACAGGCATCATCAGCAGCAGCAGCAGAAGAAGAGGAAGAAGGAGTAAAATCAGATCCAAAAAACAATGAAAATAACCCGGGAGAAAGACTACAAGATCGAC